TCTTTGTTCGTTCACCTTGTCAACATATCTTTGCACTCAAATACCTATATACACATTTTAGTCCATTTACATTATCAACGTTTCCTGGCACGTATACCTATATACAAATTTTTGTTCGTTCACCTTATCACTTATCCTTGCACTCATGTACCTATACACATATTTTAATTCATATATCCTGTCAACGTATCCTTGCTCTCATATACCTACATACACATTTTTGTTCATGTACCTTGTCAACGTATCGGTTGACGATGTGGTCTTCGTACAGCTTGGCTGATGCGTCTATCCTGGCGTCAAAGGCAGACACCTGTCTGATGGATATACCTACTGCTCGAGTCAAGGTGGTGAGCAACGCACCAAACACCCAGCATTGCCTGTGTAGGGTATGTAGTAGAGCTTCAGTATCAATATAGAGGCTGTTGTATGTATGGGTTTGTGTGGAGTATATTCTATACAGAAGTACAGTACACATCTGGAATAGCTGGTGTATAGTCACGAATGGGAACGAATGAGCACTGTAGTGCATTGTGCCGGGAGTTTATATAAACATCACGAAGGAAAAGTTCGCAGGTGTTGACGTATATGCATGTGTGTATGTGTATGCGTACGTGTGTGTGTGCATGTGTATGTGTGATATATAAATTAAGAAACGCTTCCTCCTCCGAACAGGCATCTATGTGAATTGGTTCATAACTCGTCGGCATTCAGTCAACGTCTTGTATCTGCGTCCCATACGCACCAACAAGTAAACAACCGTCCTCTCTAATAGGACGCATACCCGTATTTCACTGGTGTTTTATCATCGTCGTTCCATGCCTGGATGATGTCTATGGTTGACGACCAGTGGTCTGGAGGGTAGCCTGTAGGATGTGGTTGCAGAATAAGACTGGGATTTGCATCAGACAGATGATCACAGATATAGGAATGAGTGATTACAGATATATGAATGCGTGTTTACAGATATAAGAATGAGTGATTACAGATATATGAATGAGTGATTACCGATATAGGTTAGGGTAAGGTAAGACACTCACTATAGTCTCCAAGTGTTTTGTAAATCAAATGGTAAGTAAACCCGTAGTAATACACAGAGGAGCACACTAGAGCTCTTAGAACTCACCTATCCGTGTTCATACCACCGGACACACATATATGCACTATATGGCCGGCCAAAGCAGTGTACGTACGATGCATACTGCCAGGAAAATACATACATACACACACATATATATATACTTTAATAACTACAGTTACATACACAACGCACACACACGTACTTTAATCACCACAGTTACATACATAGCACATGCACATGAAACCCTAAAACAAGGAAAGTCCCCGGCCCATCTACCGGACAGAACTCCATGCACGTCTCCCTGTGTGAACTTGGATGACTATGTCACAGGTGATGTGCTACCAGATTTGCACAACCCGAGCAGCACGCGTATATGACCACATCCCATAGACACTTTATTTATTTATGGGCACAAAGCAAACACATACACATACACACACAAACACACACACGCACACACACACACACGCACACACACACACACACACACACACACACACACACACACACACACACACACACACACACACATA